ATATAGACCGAAGTTTAAATATATGGACTGAAAGTCTGAATATATGGACTGAAAGTCTGAATATATGGACCAACGTCTGAATATATGGACTGAAAATCTGAATATATGGACCGAAGTCTGAATATATGGACTGAAAGTCTGAATATATGGACTGAAAGTCTGAATATATGGACCAAAGTTTGAATATATGGACCGAAGTTTGAATATATGGACCGAAAGTCTGAATATAAGGACCGAAGTTTGAATGTATGGACCAAAGTCTGAATATATGGACTGAAAGTCTGAATATATGGACTGAAAGTCTGAATATATAGACTGAAGTTTGAATATATGGACTGAAAATCTGAATATATGGACTGAAAATCTGAATATATGGACCGAAGTCTGAATATATGGACTGAAATCTGAATATATGGACCGACGTCTGAATATATGGACTGAAAGTCTGAATATATGGACTGAAGTCTGAATATATGGACCAAAGTTTTAATATATGGACCGAAGTTAAAATATATGGACCGAAGTTTGAATATATGGACCGAAGTCTGAATATATGGACCGAAGTCTGAATATATGGACTGAATGTCTGAATATATGGACTGAAAGTCTGAATATATGGACCGAAGTTTGAATTTATGGACCGAAGTATGAATATATTGACCGAAGTTGGAATATATGGACTGAAAATCGAATAAATGGACTGAAAGTCTGAATATATGGGCTGAAAGTCTGAATATATAGACTGAAGTTTAAATATATGGACTGAAAATCTGAATATTTGGACTGAAGTCTGAATATATGGACCGAAGTCTGAATATATGGACTGAATGTCTGAATATATGGACTGAAAGTCTGAATATATAGACCGAAGTTTGAATTTATGGACCGAAGTTTGAATATATAGACCGAAGTTGGAATATATGGACTGAAAATCCATTAAATGGACTGAAAGTCTGAATATATGGGCTGAAAGTCTGAATATATAGACTGAAGTTTGAATATATGGACTGAAAATCGAATATATGGACTGAAAGTCTGAATATATGGGCTGAAAGTCTGAATATATAGACTGAAGTTTAAATATATGGACTGAAAATCTGAATATTTGGACTGAAGTCTGAATATATGGACCGAAGTCTGAATATATGGACTGAAAGTCTGAATATATGGACCGAAGTCTGAATATATGGACTGAATGTCTGAATATATGGACTGAAAGTCTGAATATATAGACCCAAGTTTGAATTTATGGACCGAAGTTTGAATATATAGACCGAAGTTGGAATATATGGACTGAAAATCGAATATATGGACTGAAAGTCTGAATATATGGGCTGAAAGTCTGACTATATAGACTGAAGTTTGAATATATGGACTGAAAATCTGAATATTTGGACTGAAGTCTGAATATATGGACCGAAGTCTGAATATATGGACTGAATGTCTGAATATATGGACTGAAAGTCTGAATATATAGACCGAAGTTTGAATTTATGGACCGAAGTTTGAATATATAGACCGAAGTTGGAATATATGGACTGAAAGTCGAATATATGGACTGAATGTCTGAATATATGGGCTGAAAGTCTGAATATATAGACCGAAGTTTGAATTTATGGACCGAAGTTTGAATATATAGACCGAAGTTGGAATATATGGACTGAAAATCCAATATATGGACTGAAAGTCTGAATATATGGGCTGAAAGTCTGAATATATAGACTGAAGTTTGAATATATGGACTGAAAATCGAATATATGGACTGAAAGTCTGAATATATGGGCTGAAAGTCTGAATATACAGACTGAAGTTTAAATATATGGACTGAAAATCTGAATATTTGGACTGAAGTCTGAATATATGGACCGAAGTCTGAATATATGGACTGAAAGTCTGAATATATGGACCGAAGTCTGAATATATGGACTGAATGTCTGAATATATGGACTGAAAGTCTGAATATATAGACCCAAGTTTGAATTTATGGACCGAAGTTTGAATATATAGACCGAAGTTGGAATATATGGACTGAAAATCGAATATATGGACTGAAAGTCTGAATATATGGGCTGAAAGTCTGAATATATAGACTGACGTTTGACTATATGGACTGAAAATCTGAATATTTGGACTGAAGTCTGAATATATGGACCGAAGTCTGCATATATGGACTGAATGTCTGAATATATGGACTGAAAGTCTTAATATATAGACCGAAGTTTGAATTTATGGACCGAAGTTTGAATATATAGACCGAAGTTGGAATATATGGACTGAAAGTCGAATATATGGACTGAATGTCTGAATATATGGGCTGAAAGTCTGAATATATAGACTGAAGTTTGAATATATGGACTGAAAATCTGAATATTTGGACTGAAGTCTGAATATATGGACCGAAGTCTGAATATATGGACTGAAAGTCTGAATATATGGGCTGAAAGTCTGAATATATAGACTGAAGTTTAAATATATGGACTGAAAATCTGAATATTTGGACTGAAGTCTGAATATATGGACCGAAGTCTGAATATATGGACTGAAAGTCTGAATATATGGACCGAAGTCTGAATATATGGACTGAATGTCTGAATATATGGACTGAAAGTCTGAATATATAGACCCAAGTTTGAATTTATGGACCGAAGTTTGAATATATAGACCGAAGTTGGAATATATGGACTGAAAATCGAATATATGGACTGAAAGTCTGAATATATGGGCTGAAAGTCTGAATATATAGACTGAAGTTTGAATATATGGACTGAACATCTGAATATTTGGACTGAAGTCGGAATATATGGACCGAAGTCTGAATATATTGACTGAAAATCTGAATATTTGGACTGAAGTCTGAATATATGGACCGAAGTCTGAATATATGGACCGAAGTCTGAATATATGGACCGAAGTCTGAATATATTGACTGAAAGTCTGAATATATGGACTGAAAGTCTGAATATATGGACCAACGTTTGAATATATGGACCGAAGTCTGAATATATGGACCGAAGTCTGAATATATGGAGTGAAAGTCTGAATATATGGACTGAAAATCGAATATATGGACTGAAAGTCTGAATATATGGGCTGAAAGTCTGAACATTTAGACTGAAGTTTGAATATATGGACTGAAAATCTGAATATTTGGACTGAAGTCTGAATATATGGACCAAAGTCTGAATATATTGACTCAAAGTATGAATATATTGACTGAAAGTCTGAATATATGGACTGAAAGTCTGAATATATGGACCAACGTTTGAATATATGGACCGAAGTCTGAATATATGGAGTGAAAGTCTGAATATATGGACCAACGTTTGAATATATTGACCGAAGTCTGAATATATTGACTGAAAATCTGAATATTTGGACTGAAGTCTGAATATATGGACCGAAGTCTGAATATATGGACCGAAGTCTGAATATATTGACTGAAAGTCTGAATATATTGACTGAAAGTCTGAATATATGGACTGAAAGTCTGAATATATGGACCAACGTTTGAATATATGGACCGAAGTCTGAATATATGGACCGAAGTCTGAATATATGGAGTGAAAGTCTGAATATTTGGACCGAGGTCTGAATATATGGACTGAAAGTCTGAATATTTGGACCGAAGTCTGAATATATTGGCTGAAAGTCTGAATATTTGGACCGAGGTCTGAATATATGGACTGAAAGTCTGAATATTTGGACCGAAGTCTGAATATATGGAGTGAAAGTCTGAATATTTGGACCAAAGTTTGAATATATGGACCGAAGTCTGAATATATGGAGTGAAAGTCTGAATATTTGGACCGATGTCTGAATATATGGACTGAAAGTCTGAATATTTGGACCAAAGTCTGAATATATTGACTGAAAGTCTGAATATTTGGACCAAAGTCTGAATATATTGACTGAAAGTCTGAATATTTGGACCGAAGTCTGAATATATGGAGTGAAAGTCTGAATATTTGGACCAAAGTTTGAATATATGGACCGAAGTCTGAATATATGGAGTGAAAGTCTGAATATTTGGACCGATGTCTGAATATATGGACTGAAAGTCTGAATATTTGGACCAAAGTCTGAATATATTGACTGAAAGTCTGAATATTTGGACCGAGGTCTGAATATATGGACTGAAAGTCTGAATAAGTGGACCAAAGTTTGAATATATGGACCGAAGTCTGAATATATGGAGTGAAAGTCTGAACATTTGGACCAAAGTCTGAATATATTGACTGAAAGTCTGAATATATGGAGTGAAAGTCTGAATATTTGGACCAAAGTTTGAATATATGGACCGAAGTCTGAATATATTGACTGAAAGTCTGAATATTTGGACCGAGGTCTGAATATATGGACTGAAAGTCTGAATAAGTGGACCAAAGTTTGAATATATGGACCGAAGTCTGAATATATGGAGTGAAAGTCTGAATATTTGGACCGAGTTCTGAATATATTGACTGAAAGTCTGAATATATGGACTGAAAGTCTGAATATATGGACTGAAAGCTGTGCTTCAAGTGGGTTCGGTTTGCAGCAACATGCACCGCCACTTCAAACTCTGTGACCTGTCAGCATACCTTTTTTAAATACTTTTTTCTAGGCGGTGCACAGTGGTAGTTTTTCGGGTCATTTATTAGTCCAAATCTCCGAGTTCTAAGAAAATATCTGTCTCTCCAACATCAGCCATCCACAGTCCGTGCCCAGCGCAGCCACTCCCGATACGTCGCACACGCGCTCCATGAAGGTCCGCATTTTGCGCCAAAGGTGCATCACTGCCGTGAGACGCACAGCGCATTCAGCCCCGTCAGCACAGAGGAGGTTCCATTGAAGAGGAGCAGGAGACAAATAGTTGTCTCCGCCCACCTATAAACATTTGATCCCGCCCACATTTAGCCCCGCCCCGATCTCCAGGAGGCAGCCAGGGGCTACTCCCTGGTTCAGACCAGGAAACGCCTTACCGCCAGGTGCGTTAAAACCCTCACAACCCATGGCTGTGGTGTTTGATTCTTCAGCGAGAGATATCGGAGGTGTGGCGTGAGAGTGTGTGAAGAGAGTCAGATGCTTGTGTTTCACACTCAGTGTGTGAGAGATGCAGCCGTACATATTAGTAACAATATGAATAGAAACACTAGACAGTGTTCATCTGCACCAACAGCCTGTGCTCGTGGATTCAGATCTATCATTCTGGAATCCAGGGCCACAAAAATTTCTCTGAGGACCTCAAATGGCCCACGGAGCAGACTTTGGACCCCCTGAACTTTGAGACCTTGACACGATCCTTATCTCTGATGGCTGGCCGTAACTGGTTTATGGCTGAGACTTTGGGTTGTTTATCAGTTCTCATCAGATGAAGAAGAAACCCAAACCGGTTGAGACTGGATCTAATGTGGACAAAAGAGAAGAAACAAACTAAAGTGTGTGGATCAGGTGAGTTGTTCTTGTTCTCCTGTCAGAGAGAACTTTCCTCTCTGGATCGTTGCTTTGCTTCACCTTCAGATCAAACTGTAGCGTCACGTCTCACTGTCTCACTTCCTGTTGGTTCTCACTAGAAAACACACTCGCTGTTGTTTTCTTTAGTGGAGAATCCCAGTCTGTCTAACTGGTTCATCTCTGGCTCTGACTGACTGAAGAGGAAGATGGACGTTTATGCAGAAGAAGAGGAGAACAGAGCAGAACCTTCAGGATCCAGCTGTCCTCCTATGAAGAGCAGCTTCTCGCAGCCCAGACCTCCAGACCTCAGTGGAGCAGAACCTCCAGGACCCAGCTGTCTGTCTATGAAGAGTGACTGGTCCAGGCATCGTCCTCCAGACCTCAGTGGACCCGGACCTTCAGACACAAAGTAAGAAGCGTGTTGATGAAGCTGACTGACCTTCTTTAGGTTTCTCCTCTCTGATGTCCATCATCTAGAGAAGCTTTCATCTGACCTCAGTTACAATCATGAAACCTTCTGATTCTCTGCAGCAGTTTGTGTGTTCGCAGCTTCTGAGATGGTTTCCTCAGATCTTCTCACTGACTGATGTGATCTGAGTTACAACATGTTGTGTTTCAGATGTCAGAACCACAGATGGAGAGCAGAACCTCCAGGACCCAGCTGTCTGTCTATGAAGAGTGACCGGTCCAAGCATCGTCCTCCAGACCTCAGTGGACCTGGACCTTCAGACCCAAAGTAAGAAAACAGTTTCTAACTGGTTCTTGATGGGGCGACGGTGGCACAGGAGTTAAGTAATCGGAAGGTTGCAGGTTCGAGTCCCGCTCAGTCTGTCGCTGTCGTTGTGTCCTTGGGCAAGACACTTAACCCACCTTGCCTGCTGGTGGTGGTTGGAGGGACCGGTGGCGCCAGTGCTCGGCAGCCTCGCCTCTGCCAGTGCGCCCCAGGGCAGCTGTGGCTACATTGTAGCTCATCCCCACCAGTGTGTGAATGTGTGTGTGAATGGGTGAATGACTGAATGTGTTGTAAAGCGCCTTGGGGGCTTCCAGGACTCTAGAAGGTGCTATATCAAGTACAGGCCATTTACCATTTCTTCTGACTCCTCAGACAGAAAAACAGGATTTGTGGTAGAACTGATGAACTAGTGGAGCTCTGACCAAGTAGAGCAGGTGAACATGCAGCTGTAATCAGAGCATCAGAGCTTTTATTGTTTAGTCTGAAGATCTTTCTCCAGAATCACAGCAGGATGAATGTTTCATGTGAAAAGTCCCACATCTGGAGCTCTATGCAGGCTGCTTGCTGCCAACAAGAAGCTTCCAGAACATCAGGAAGAGTCCAGCTGGTTGTCGGTGACGATGAGAGAGCTGACCAGAGGGAGGAAGAGAAGTTCTGTTGGTGAGGAGGACCAGCTGTCCTGCTGTTTCTGTTCCAATGAGGTTCTGCTGCAGCATTCAGATCTGCTCTGTGTCACATTTCTCAGCAGATGTTGGTCTGCAGGAGGTTCTAGACGAACATCGGCTCAGTCTGAGGAGCAGATGTGAACGTGTGACTGAAGGAAGTGATGAACCAGGAAGTAGAACCCTCCTGAACAGGATCTACACTGAGCTCTACATCACAGAGGGACAGAGTGAAGAGGTTAATACCCAACATGAGGTGAGACAGCTGGAGACCACTTCCAGGACCAAGAGGCTCCATGATGCTCCAATCAGGTGCCAGGACATCTTTAAAGCCTCACCTGATGAAGACGAAGACACAGACAAAGACCAGCATAACGATAAAGTTAAAGCCATCAGAGTGGTTCTGACCAACGGCGTCGCTGGAGCTGGAAAAACCTTCTCAGTGCTGAAGTTCACTCTGGACTGGGCCGAGGGCTCGGAGAACCAGGATGTCCACGTGGTGCTTCTGCTTTCCTTCAGGGAGCTGAACTTGATCAGAGATGAGCAGCACAGTCTTCTCACGCTGCTCCGTGTTTTCTATCCAACATTCCAGAAGCTCCCAGCAGAGAAGCTGGCTGTCTGGAAACTTCTCTTCATCTTTGATGGTCTGGATGAAAGCAGACTTCCACTGGACTTCAGCAGCAGTCAGCTGCTTTGGGAGGTCACACAGAGGTCATCAGTCCAGGTGCTGCTGACAAGCCTCATCAAGGGGACCCTGCTTCCCTCGGCTCTGGTCTGGATCACCTCCAGACCTGCAGCAGCCAATCAGATCCCTCCTTCATGTGTCCACAGGGTCACAGAAGTACGAGGCTTCACTGACTCGCAGAAGGAGGACTACTTCAGGAGGAGGTTCAGTGATGAAGAGCTGTCCAGCAGAATCATCTCCCACATCAAGACCTCCAGGAGCCTCCACATCATGTGTGGAATCCCAGTCTTCTGCTGGATCACTGCTACAGTTCTGGAGAACATGTTTTCTACAGAGCAGAGAGGAGAGCTGCCCAAGACCATGACTGACATGTACTCACACTTCCTGTTGGTTCAGACCAAGAGGAAGAAGAACAAGTACCATGAAGGACCTGAGACTAGTCCTCAGGAGCTGATGGAGGCTGACAGGGAGCTTCTTCTGAAGCTGGGGAGGCTGGCGTTGGAACATCTGGAGAAAGGAGACATCATGTTCTACCAAGAAGACCTGGAGCAGGCTGGTCTGGATGTCTCAGAGGCCTCGGTGTTCTCAGGAGTTTGTACAGAGATCTTCAGAAGAGAGTGTGTGATCTTCCAGAAACCAGTCTACTGCTTTGTTCATCTGAGCGTTCAGGAGTTTCTGGCTGCAGTCTACATGTTCCACTGCTTCAGCAGCAGGAACATGGAGGTGACGGAGAAATTCCTGGGAGAAGATTACAGAGGCTCATTTCTGGAGGACTTCTTGGGAGGAGACTACAGAGACTCACCTCTGGAGGACTTCCTGAAGAGAGTGATGAAGAAATCCCTCAGCAGTGAAAATGGCCACCTGGACCTGTTTGTCCGCTTCCTTCATGGCCTCTCTGTGGAGTCCAACCAGAGACTCTTAGGAGGTCTGCTGGGTCAGACACAGATCAGTCCAGGAACCATCCAGAGGACCATTAACAACCTGAAGGAGATGAACAGTGATGGAGTCTCTCCAGACAGAAGCATCAACATCTTCCACTGTCTGATGGAGATGAAGGACCTCTCAGTTTATCAGCAGGTCCAAAACTTCCTGAAGTCAGAGAACAGATCAGAGAGACTCTCAGAGATCCAGTGTTCAGCTCTGGCCTACATGCTGCTGATGTCAGAGGAGGTTCTGGAGGAGTTGGACCTGCAGAAGTACAGAACATCACCACGGGGACGACTGAGACTGATTCCAGCTGTGAGGAACTGCAGAAAGTTCAGGTGAGTCCAGATGTTGTGATGATGATCATCAGTAGTTATTAGAGGTGCTGAGTTTAAACAGAAAATAAGTTTAGTGAATGAAAACGGCAGAAAAGTGAATCAGAAGGTTTGGAGTCTGATTCTGGACAGATCATCTCTCTGCTGCCTCTTTCTGCATCAAAGCTTGTTGTGTCAGAACCTGGTTTGTTTGGTTTCTTTTTCAAGAACAAACAACAAACACATCCCTGCTTTCTGATGGAGTGTGTCCACAAACACCTCACTGTTCCACACTAGAGCTCCGAGTCCCAGTCCTGCTGGAGCTCTGATGGAGTACAGCTGGACACCAGCAGCATGTTCCTGCGTGTGCACGTGAAGAGGTGGAGCTGACGGGAACAGGAAGCTAAGAGATCGTCTCTGTTCACTGAGCTGAACTCCGTCTAAAGGCTCTGAGCTCAGATGGAAACTAGAGAAGAGTCCAAGTGTTTTTCTACAGCAGACGTGTTGATTCTGACTCTGGATCAGATCCTGCTGACAGACTGTGGACATGATGGATGTTCCCTCCTCCATCTGCAGATTAAAGGTGTGAAAGAGACTGAACAGATTCACTGGCTCATGTCAGATGGAGCAGATGGAGCAGATGAAGCACAGATGTGAGGAGCAGATGTTCATCAGATGATGACATCACTGTTTAGTCATCATCGGCTTTCAGGCTGTTTATCAGACAGATTCTCTGATTTTATTACAACTGACTTTAACTTCTCTCTCATCACAGAGCTGCTGGTTGTGGTTCTGGTTCTGGTCCTGGTCCTACACTCGCTGAGACTGACTGTGAAGTTGTGTCCTCAGCTCTGAAGTCCAACCCGTCCCATCTGACAGAACTGGACCTGAGTTTCAATGGCTTGTCTGATTCTGGAGTGAAGGTTCTGAGTTCTGGACTGGAGAGTCCAAACTGTAGACTGGAGGTTCTGAGGTCAGTTCTCTGCAGCTGTTGGAGGTTTTCTGTGTTTGACCTTTAACCCCTTAACCCACATCTGCTCCAAATGCAACCAGAACAGCACTTGTACCTGAGGGATCGTTCACAACCAAAGAAATGATTATTATGGGAACCATCTGTGCACGGCTGTCTCAGGCCTTGAATCAGGTAGAAAGAAAGATCCTGTCTGTAAATCCCAGAAAGCTTCATTCACCACACTAATAAAGAAAGCATTAATCCCACGTGTCCATCACAAGCTTTTGTCACTGGTAACAGACTCAGATTAGCTGAACTACAGGAGGCCATTAGGGGGCGCTGACACCAAGCCTGCACCTTTAGGGTGGCCCGTCCCCAAGAGACACACTGAAAGCATGGATCATGTATGAGCTCGCCATGTTCAGGTCAACACACACCTGCTACTTTAATTACAGAGAAATGACTTTAGATCGTCTGGGATTAAAAGCAGGATGTGGCACAAGATCATGTTCAGAGGATTAGTTTCATTTGGTTTAAAGCAGCCATAACTGGCCTGTTGTTGCTGAGTAACAAAATATTCTTCGTCTTCGTCTTTCGTCTTCGTCTTCCTCTGCTTATCCGGGTCCGGGTCATGGGGGTAGCATCCCAACTAGGGAGCACCAGACCGTCCTCTCCCCGGCCTTGTCCACCAGCTCCTCCAGCAGGACCCCAAGGCGTTCCCGGACCAGATTGGAGATGTAACCTCTCCAACGTGTCCTGGGTCGACCCGGGGGCCTTCTGCCGGCAGGACATGCCCGAAACACCTCCCCAGGGAGGCGTCCAGGAGGCATCCTGACCAGATGCCCAAACCACCTCAACTGGCTCCTTTCGATCCGGAGGAGCAGCGGTTCTACTCCGAGTCCCTCCCGAATGTCCGAGCTCCTCACCCTATCTCTAAGGCTGAGCCCGGCCACCCTACGGAGGAAACTCATTTCGGCCGCTTGTATCCGCGATCTCGTTCTTTCGGTCATTACCCAAAGCTCATGACCATAGGTGAGGATTGGGACGTAGATCGACCGGTAAATCGAGAGCCTGGCTTTCTGGCTCAGCTCCCTCTTCCCCACGACAGATCGGCTCAGCGTCCGCATCACTGCAGACGCCGAACCAATCCGCCTGTCGATCTCCCGATCCCTCCTACCCTCACTCGTGAACAAGACCCGAGATACTTAAACTCCTCCACTTGAGGTAGGACCTCTCCCCTGACCCCGAGGTGGCAAGCCACCCTTTTCCGGTCGAGCACCATGGTCTCAGATTTGGAGGTGCTGATCCTCATCCCAGCCGCTTCACATTCGGCCGCGAACCTACCCAGCAAGAGCTGAAGGTCAGAGCTGGATGAAGCTAGGAGGACCACATCATCCGCAAAAAGCAGAGACGAGATTCTCCTGCCACCAAACTCGACACACTCCACACCACGGCTGCGTCTAGAAATTCTGTCCATAAAAGTGATGAACAGAACCGGTGACAAAGGGCAGCCCTGGCGGAGTCCAACCCTCACTGGGAACAGGTCCGACTTACTACCGGCTATGCGGACCAAACTCACGCTCCTCTGGTAAAGGGACTGAATGGCCCTTAACAGAAAGCCACCCACCCCATACTCCTGGAGCGTCCCCCACAGGGTGCCCCTGGGGACACGGTCATAAGCCTTCTCCAAATCCACAAAGCACATGTGGATTGGTTGGGCAAACTCCCATGCCCCCTCCATCACCCTTGCAAGGGTATAGAGCTGGTCCACAGTTCCACGGCCAGGACGAAAACCACATTGCTCCTCCTCTATCTGAGATTCAACTATCGATCGGACCATCCTCTCCAGTACCTTGGCGTAGACCTTTCCAGGGAGGCTGAGGAGTGTGATCCCCCTATAGTTGGAACACACCCTCAGGTCACCCTTCTTAAAGATGGGGACCAACACCCCGGTCTGCCACTCCCTAGGAACTGCCCCCGATGGCCACGCAATGTTGTAGAGACGTGTCAACCATGACAGCCCTACAACATCCATAGCCTTGAGATACCCAGGACGAACCTCATCCGCCCCCGGGGCTCCGCCGCTGTGTAGTTGTTTGACTACCTCAGCAACTTCTGCCCCCGAGATCGGACAGTCCATCCCCAGGCCTCCCAGCTCTGGTTCCTCCTCGGAATGCGCATTGGTGGGATTGAGGAGCTCCTCAAAGTATTCCTTCCACAGTCCGACTATAGCCTCAGTTGACGTCAGCAGCTCCCCATCCCCACTGTAAACAGTGTGAGCGAGTTGCTGCCTTCCTCTCCTGAGGCGCCGGACAGTTTGCCAGAACCTCTTTGGAGCCGATCGATAGTCTTTCTCCATGGCCTCACCAAACTCCTCCCACGCCCGAGATTTTGCCTCGGCAACTGCCACTGCTGCACCCCGCTTGGCTATCCGGTACCTGTCTGCTGCCTCCGGAGACCCACAGACCAGCCACGCCCTGTAGGCCTCCTTCTTCAGCCTGACGGCTCCCCGAACCTCTGGTGTCCACCAGCGGGTACGGGGGTTGCCACCACGACTGGCACCGGCCACCTTACGACCACAGCTAGCAACAGCCGCCTCGACAATCGCAGAGTGGAACAAGGTCCACTCGGACTCAATGTCCTCCACTGCTCTCGGGACGTGGTCAAAGCTCTGCCGGAGGTGGGAGTTGAAGACCGTCTTGACAGGTTCTTCTGCCAGGCGTTCCCAGCAGACCCTCACTATGCGTTTGGGTCTGCCAGGTCTACGCGGCATGTTCCCTTGCCATCTGATCCAACTCACCACCAGGTGGTGATCAGTTGACAGCTCCGCCCCTCTCTTCACTCGGGTGTCCAAAACATACGGCCGCAGGTCAGATGATACGACTACAAAATCTATCATCGACCTGTGACCTAGGCTGCCCTGGTACCAAGTGTACCGGTGGGCATCCTTATGTTCGAACATGGTGTTTGATATGGCCAAACTGCAGCTTGCACAGAAGTCCAATAACAAAACACCGCTCGAGTTCAGATTAGGTGGGCCGTTCCTCCCAATCACACCCCTCCAGGTCAAGCTGTCATTGCCCACGTGAGCATTGAAGTCCCCCAGCAGGACAATGGAGTCCCCTGATGGAGCACTATCTAGCACTCGTCCCAGGGACTCCAAAAAGGGTGGGTACTCTGAACTGATATTTGGCCCATAAGCACAAACAACAGTCAGGACCCGTTCCCTGACCCGAAGGCGCAAGGAAGCTACCCTCTCGTCCCCCGGGGTAAACCCCAACACACAGGCAGAGAGTCTCGGGGCTAACAAAAAGCCAACCCCAGCCCTCCGCCTCTCACCCGGAGCAACTCCAGCAAAGTAGAGTGTCCAACCCCTCTCCAGGTCTCGGGTTCCAGAGCCAATGCAATGTGTCGAGGTGAGTCCGACTATATCTAGCCGGTACCGCTCAACCTCTGCCACAAGCTCCGGCTCCTTCCCCGCCAGCGAGGTGACGTTCCATGTCCCAAAAACTAGTTTTCTTGTCCGGGGATTGGACCGCCAAGGCTCCCGCCTTGGTCTGCCACCCGATTCGCATTGCACCGGACCCTTCATGTTCCTCCTGCGGGTGGTGGGTCCACAGTTGAACAAAATATTCATTTAGTTTATTTAAATGTTCTGTAAAACTTTACTTTAAAGGGTCCCTTTATTCATGCTGTTAGTGCATTATTAAGCATGAATAAACTATTAAATACAGTATTAACAACTGCTTCATATGAATGTTAATATGAATTCATGAATTACTAAGCAGATAGCAGCACTGACACTCGTCCCAGACATGCAGGTGTGTGTGTGTGTGTGTGTGTGTGTGTGTGTGTGTGTGTGTTTGTGTGTGTGTGTGTGTGTGTGTGTGTGTGTGTGTGTGTGTGTGACTGGGATCACTGGGTGGTTTAAGTAAGTTTTTACTCACAGTGCTAGCTGGTCCCATTCACTTACAGTGTTTTATGCTAAGCTAAAGCTAAAGCAGTACAGCTGGGTCAGGAGAACAACCTGGTTACAAATAGTTTTTTTCCCACTTATCTAACTCTGGGAAATATGTCAACAGACAGCATTTAAATTTTGGGTGTGATAGCCCTTTAAGGACAGTTAATGGTTAATATCAGGAACATTAATAAAGGGATCCTTGTTTATTAATGCTTAATAAAGCACTAAAATGTTTCCTAAGGGCCCCTATTGTAGTTCATGTTTCTGTTTTAACCTGCATCCTGTTGGCTTCAGCTCTCTGCTTTTATTCTTTATTCAGGTTGGAGAACTGCAGCTTGTCAGAGATCAGCTGTTCTTCTCTGGGCTCAGCTCTGATGTCCAACCCGTCCCATCTGACACAACTGGACCTGAGCTGGAATGACCGGTTTGGTTCTGTAGTGAAGGATCTCTGTGGTTTCCTGGAGAGCCCAGGCTGTAGACTGGAGGTTCTGAGGTCAGTTCTCTGCAGCTGTTGGAGATTTTCTGTGTTTAACCCTTTATCTGGCCGACGTCCATATTTAGACACTTTCTCTCACATCATAAATGATGTCGGTGTGCTTTTTCACAAACTCTTAGAATTACGAGATTTCACCCAAACAATCATCAGAGGTCAAGCTACCGTAAATCCTCTAATACAGGCCCGGGCCTGTATTTGACTCAAGCTCATCAAGCTCCAGGCCTTTATTGGAAGGAGGGCCAGTATTAGAGGCAGGCCTCTATTTCTATTTGAGCAAAATGAACTAATGGTTCGCTGGAGTTTTTGACAATTAAAATTGCGCCCACATTTTCAAAGTCAAACACATTTCTTTTAACAACGGTAGTTTCTGCTTCAGCCCTCTCCCCCCTCCCCCTGCTTCAGCCCTCTCCCCCCTCCCACTGCGCAGCGGCCGCAAACTCACTGATGCGCCTGCAGCCTCTCAGAGTTCCTGCTGCTCTAAACATTAAAATAATTATTTCATTTTCTGTTCCTCACTTCTGATGACCTTCAATGGTGTTTGTTTACTGCAACCAGCAGGTACAAAAACTAACTTGTTTTTATTTGACTATTTTTCTGTCCTGCCAGCTTATTATCTTCCTGATTCTCCTCTCAGTCCAAAAGAAAAACTGCTACCTGGGTTCATATATATTCACCTTATGAGCTACCTTTGAACTGCAGTTCTAAAAGATCTACCGACCGCAAAAACAGCGGAGCGCTCGCTGTTTGGCGGCCATATCAGTGATCAGTGCGTCGGAGGACAAGGTGATGCGCGCAGCGCCCCGCTCCACAGCATGCAGCGAAACGCATCAGGCGCAAATAAAAGACAGAAAACATTAAAGGAAATGAACTGACATGAACGATCGCGTGTTAAATTAGTTTTTGAGGTGGCGACACCTGATTGTTACTGTGGCCATGCTCAGGAGGCAGATCTACCGACCGCGAAAACAGCTGAGCGCTCCCTGCTTGGAGGCCGCATCAGTGATCTGTGCGTCGGAGGACAAGTTGAAGTGCCCCGCTCCACAGCAGCGATACACATCAGGCGCAAATAAAAGACAGAAAACATTAAAGGAAATGAACCGACATGAACGATCGCGTGTCAGTACCTACGGTCTGGCACAACGAGTTGCCCCCCCCCCCCACCCCCCCACCCCCACCCCCGAGCGCAGGAGCTTGTCACCTGCTGACAGCAGGCTGCTGTCTTTTCCAAGGGCTGCCGGTCATTATCACGTGACAGCGACTAGTCGAAGACAGGCATATAAAGTCACTATAGTGAAGTTGACTAGTTCATACACCCCCTACTGCTGCTCTCCAGAGTGTTCTGCAGCATAATCAGCACGTTCTCTTTGAACTTGATAGTGTAATGACCTGGCTGGGGTTGTAAGCCAGGTGCATTCTGGGTACAGTGCTATATGTGTTTCCTATCGTTCTGCTAGTTCCTATGTGCTGATTTGCGTGTTGTGTGAGTGTTATGTAAGCCACAGGGAAGGTGATGTGTGTTCTGTGGAGCGGGTTGAATTAGCATGGTTAACTGACACCGTGACTCTGTGTGGTAGGAGCATGATAGAGGATCGTGTTTGTAGCGTTACAAAGCGTTGAAGAAAAAGCCTAATAAAGGTCTGTGTGAACTGCTACTGCCTCCTGCTGGTTGATTTGGGGGCTATAACCCTGCCGCTGGGATGCTCATACTTGCTTGTTACCACATTCCACCCGGCCACAATAAGAGACCGGCCATTATTAACCTCCGCTGACTCCGACACCGGCCAAAATTGGAGACCCGGCCTTTAATTGAATACCGGCCTGTATTAGAGGATTTACGGTAGTCACGGTTTACGCCATGGCACCATTCCACCAATCAGGGCGGAGCTATAACGGGTCAACTGTTGGTGTGTCTGCAAAGCCAGAAAACTGCCCGTCTCCTCTCGTGTTTACGGTCAGATCTCTAAAACTAACAACGCTAGATTTATGAAAGTCTCACATCACCAGGTTGACTAGTTTTGCTCAATAAGGATACATGTGTTGTAAATGTTAAACTCAATAAAGTTGGTGAAATCTTAGCATGAAAATCAAATCTGCCACATTTGTACACGCGCCCTGAACAGATTAAAGAAATTATGAATAGTTTAGGTAAAATTTGTTGTTTTTAGACATAATCTTAATATTCATGGTGACAGTAATAATAACAATTATGATATAGAATTTATTTAGTAGTTTTAAGCTAAGATTTCTCTGGAAAATGGAGAACAGTTATTGCACCAACCAATCTCACCATCAGTGATGATGATGAACAGGAAGAAGATGATTATGAGGCAGATCCTCACATATAAAATATTCTAAATTATTCTAATAATCTATATTAGATCAGAAATAGTATCTATTGTTCAATAACGTATCAAAAATATTCCACATTAATATCATTTTATATAAAAATATTCTATATTGTTTAATAATTGTGATATAATCTGTATTATTGAACAGTGCTATCATGTTCTAAAATCATCTCTAAAGTGTCTTATAATTATCTATATTATTCAAAAATAATGTTTATTTAACTTGTTCATGTGTTCATTTTGGGGTTTCTTTTACCAGAACAGGACCAAGGTCCATATTTCATCACTTTGTTTTCTCTGGTTTTCTGCATGAAAGTAAATGTTTATGAAAATTGTAACAACAGAAACACACTTTGGATATGGACTACAATAACACCCTGGGGTTGAAATTTAAAAATGAAAACACTTCCATGAGTGTCTTATAAAGGGTTAACAACTAAAATCATTCACTGGTTCTTCACAATTCATTTATTTATTTATAGCATTACAATTCAGAGATCAGACATACATGGGCAAGACACATGACAAGAATTGGTGACTGTGGTCATTCGCAACCCGAGTCGCGCTAACCTTGAGAGAGATAAGAGGGTAACACGAGGAATTGATTCGGGAGGAGGGAAAAAAAGGCACTTCACAGTTACCCTCCCACCAGGAGGGCAGCTTTGCTCTGCAAAAAAACACCTCACAGATATGCAACAGACTTCAGACAACACAACATAACATGAGACTCCAATAGGAAGGTGGGGGGGTGGGGGGGTGGGGGTGGGGGGGCTGGGATCCTGTTTCCCCCAGCGAGAGCAGCCATCTACGACGCTCAGCCACTGTAGCCACAGGTGGGAGGGAGATCTTGGGAGAAGTGCAGAGCACATTGACTCCTGCAGGTTGATGACCTCGCCAGGCTGAAGTCCACCTATCCGAAGGGGGGGGGGGGGGGGGGGGATTTCACAGCATCTGTCTGCATTCCTTCGTGGGGGTCGTTGCTAGCCTCTCAAGGCTGCTCGGGCATCAGATTCGGATAACAAGACTTTGTTTGGGTCAGGCTGAGATAATTTTCCTCTCTGCCATCAGTCTTTAAACTGATCAGTCCAGTCCTTCAGTGAAGCCAATTTGGGTTTTAAACCGGTCCATACCGTCCGCAGGGGCGGTTCTAGACCAAATTTTCCAGGGGGGCCACAGTGGGGCCAGTATTTTTTCATGGGGGCGCAAGAAAAATAAATTCATAATAAAAGACAATGAACAAGTAAACTATTACAGCGAATGCAGTAATGGTTTACTTGTGAAAGTAAAACTGGCATGTTTTTATGGTACTCAGATAACAATTGTGAATGCTTCACCGCAACATGAGACTTGAGTAAAAAAAATAATTCTAGTTGATTATTATAGTTTGTGACTTTATTTGAAGATTACATGTACTGTACATATGAAAAATTAACATTCAAACAAATTAAATATCTGCACAATACAATTTGCTTTTTGTAGTCAACACACACACACACACACACACACACACACACACACACACACACACACACACACACACACACACACACACACACACACAAGCAAAATCACCACCAATTGTTTTGATATACTCACGATGTTCTTTAACCTTTTTACTGTGTTCCTTGTCGAGTACATTAGCCAGTGTTGTATTAGCTTCCACAGCCCTCTGGTAGTCCCTCCACACTATCATTGAATCCTTATGCATTTCAGACTTTGCACGTACTGAAAACCCCCCTCCTCTCTCAGTTGCTTTTTTCCAGTTCCTAAATCCACATGGTGAGTCAAACACACTTCCTGCGCTACTTGGTGGGCTAAATTGTCTGCATGCATGACAATAAGTAGAGTCCATAGTAACAGAATATTCAACCCAAGGATGACTTTCATACCAGCTTGGCTGAAAGCTGCGTCTTCTGTCTCCTATTAATGTCACTGGAAATGTCCTCAAATGAGGCTGAGTAGGTGGGTCATCCTTACACTTGCTGATATCTGAAAGAAAATAAATGTTAGCATCAGGATAAAAGTCATAATTAGTTAATTCAGAGTCTTATTTTATCTATTTATTAAATATAAACAACAGAAATTTTGGTCCAGAGTCAGCATGCCTCAAATGCATTTTACACACAATATGAGCTGCAATCACAGAGGGGTTGTTCAACACCCACAAACCTGACGGTAGTGCACATGACCGAAGATGTCCCTCTTTTTGCTCCTCACTCTCTCCCTCACAGCCTACATCTTCCTCCTCACTCTCAGGGTGGACAGCCTGACCTCTCTGGTTCCTCTCCAACCAACTCCTCCTTCTCTCTTTCATCCTGTTTCTCAGCTCCCTTGTGACTTTCATCCTCTCTCTGTCTATGCTGTTCTTTATTAACAGCGGTAAAAAGGACAAAATGTCCATTTTTCTTTTCATGGTCGCTGATGCTTCCAGTCAGTGCTGCGAGAAAGTCATAGATAAATGAATACTGTGATCTAATCTTAACGTGTCTAAGGCTTAAAATGCAGCAACTTCATTTTTATTTTACAGTTAATGTTACAAAGGAAAAACAAATCAGTGTTGACTGTGGATAGACTCAGTTAGGAACTTAAAAGTAAATGACAGAAACACGCGACTACGATCAAAACATTGTTGTCAGGAAAATAAACTAT